TTCTTATAATACCAGCTATCTGCCAGTGAAAGTCCCTTCAAAATCGGCCTAGCCGTTTCGGAGATTAGCCGGAACAAACAGACATACAAAAATGTTAAAAATTGTGTTTTTCTTGCAGGTACCCTATATAATTTAATATGCATTTAGTAAAAAGACTTCGAAATTACAAACAGACACTTCAATATTACTTATCAGTATATTTAAAAAACTTTATTTTAAACTATCTTAAAGAAAATTTGAAAACTAGCTACTTACATAATATACGTTATAAGGCCTATATTATATTTCATCTTTTGAATTTTAAATTTTCTTTACATCACTGATAGCGATGCAGGTTTAATACAAAAAAATTGTAGCTTTCTGCGAACCTAAAAACTCTGTCAGATAGCATGAAATCAATTACTGATACCGATATTTTCAGTATATGCATAAAAATACACTTCTCAATAATTCAACGAAAGTTTTATCAATTGTCTCTTGATAGAAGAACCCATAAAAATGTTCCCAAAAGAAGGGTTCGATAAAGAAGTTGGCATATAAATTTAAATGTAATTTAATCAGTCTGTTAGCGAAAGCAATAAAACGACCGTCGTTACATTTTAGCATTACAACGGTCCTCCTACTCAATAGATACCGAACAATTTGAAGGGTATCTAACGCGTAAATTTGTTTTCTTCAGAGCAAATGTTAGACCAGAGCCTACGAATACAAAAATCATATAATTTCGTTAAAATTATGAAGGGCGGCTGTTTGAAATTTTGTGACGTGGATTGGTAATCTTGATATGAGTTCATTTCAAACCAAGGCATATCTAGATATCGATTTACTGAGCTACGTACGCAAATAATGTAAAACTGAGTACGAGCGTTTAAATATATCACCCAACTTAAAGTCGAACTAAACTCCGAAGTCTTTTATCCAATTGGTATTTCCTCAACGGATTGAAATTTAAAGTATGACCTCTGCAAAGGGTCCTGGATGCCTGTATCAGAATGCTCAGTTAAGAAATATTGGGCATTCAGAAATTAATCGCAATCTGAATGTTTGAAGTTATGTCTTGAGACCAAGCTCTTAATAAAATTACAAAAAAGATGGATGTAATATGTATATATATATATATATATATATATACATATTACATATATATATATATATATATATATATATATATATATATATATATATATATATTAGCATTGCACGCGGCTCCTCCCGCGTTCAGATGACCAACAACCAAATTCATAGTTTTTACAGATTAGTATACTCTTACATTGCAGTTTTTGCATTTTTTCTCAGAAATGAGATATTTTCCCGTGGTAAAAAGTACCCTATATGTTGACCCGGATAACCAGCTATCACCATACCAAATTTCATCAAAATCCTTCAAGTGGTTTTTCTGTGATGCGGTAACAGACAGACAGACAGACAAAAATTCTAAAACTATAGATTCAGCCTCTGTATCGATAATAATGTTTATTTCAATAAGATTTTCCAAAAAATATTTAATGTACAGATTCAGCTTAGTTACAATTTTATTATATGTATAGATTTACCTCTCTCTCTCTCTCTCTTCCTAGCTATGTGTCCCACATGGTGGTGGGGTCAACCTTCCGTATTTTTTTTCTCCACTTCGCTCTATCGGAAACATCACCTTCGGAAAGCCTGCACACCTTCATGTCCTTTGACACTATATCTTTCCATCTAGTTTTGGATCTGTATATGTACCTATAGATTTACCTATTTATAAAAAAAAACTTATAAGATCAATTTACAATTCGTAAAGATATCGCGTGAATACCAACAAAAAATACAGACGAATAAGTACCTAATTCCTCCTTTTTGAAGTTCAAGAAGTACCAACCGTATTTGGGTGCATTCACTTATCTAGAATTTAGATTTGTTTTAATATACATAATCCATCTTAGTGATGTGTGAAGACTGCTTCCTCCATATCTACGTAACACATTAATACTGGTAAGTTATATACTTGTATTCAGCCCTTTTTAACGTCCCACAGCTGGGCACGGGCCTCCTTCAATACGAAGGGGATCAGGCCATAGTACACCACGCTGGCCAAGTACGTATTGGATGATTTCACATGTGTTTGAAAATTTGTTAGGTTCTCTCAGACATGCAGGTTTCCTCACGATATTTTCCTTCACCGTTAAGACAAGTGGCAATCATATTGGAAATGGTTCGCACATGAAAATATCCGAAGTGCGAGATTCGAACCCGCTTTACCCCGTTTCACAAGCGAGCGCGTTACCACGGCGCTATCACTGCCTTATTTATATATTTAGGCAACTGTAAACACTTTTCTATCCAAAAAAAACCGTTACTTACAAACTTAAGACGAATTTATGATAGGAAAGTGGTCAATGAATCACGTAGTTCTTAGGCTAATAAATAAAAAAAATTGGTAACATTAAGGCTACTTCGACCAAAAATTGTATTGACTTTGCCAAACCCTCGTCACAGAGTGATTTAGGCGAATCCTTTCGGAAATTCTCTATGAACGACCTCAGTCCCTACTTTTATTATATGCCTGGTATTATATTCTAAAAATAATGGACGATACACACAATATGGTAAAATATTAATTATAAATTTTATGTCATAGAAAATAGTTTTTGGCATTAATTTAACGAAGCTTTTGTAGTTCTGTTGTTGTCTGTAATGAAATAATGGAATGATATTAGATGACAAACTTTCATGACTTAACTTATCGCCTCTACTGGTGACAGGAGGGCTGGTGCATTTTTCGCCCAAATATCAGCATTGCCATTCAACGGGGGAATGCGGCTAGCATTCTTGCCAATATTCCACGCGGGTATGACTTGTACAGTAATAATTATGGGTACATTTGTGTTTTATGTATAATAACTATATTTGTAGTTTTCTTTATCGTAAATCTATACAGATTTATAGTGTCTGTTGGTAATGTCAAAATAAAAGCTTTTTACTAAATTCAAATTGATGTATACACGGCACATATACCAAAACAACATTTTTTACAATTTTTGTCTGTCTGTCTGTCTGTCTGTTTGTTCCGGCTAATCTCTGAAATGGCTGGATCGATTTTGACGGGACTTTCACTGACGGATAGCTGATGTAATAAGGAGTAACTTAGGCAACTTTTATTTTAGAAAAAGATAGGGTCCCACGAAAAAAAATTTAAACCAATGAAAAATTTAACAATATCCGATTCAAATAGGGAAGTTATATATACATACCCTATAGTAAAAAAATAAAACTTGACATGGAATTTAGTTTAAAGAACTAAATAATTATTGATTATGGTATATTCTGAAAAAAACATGATATTATGTAAATATGCGTGTATTTTCATATACAAAGATTTCTAAATTACAACTACTTGCCCATGGTACCTACAACATTGTACTTATATATAAAATAGGTACTCAGTAACATGACAGTATGTAGTCAGTTAGATGAATATTATATTTTTACTAGCATTGCCCGCGGCTCCGCCCGCGTTCAGATGACCAAAAACCAAATTCTTAGGTTTTACATAGTATACCCTTACATTGCAAATTTCGTATTTTTTCTCAGAAATGAGATATTTTCCCGCGGTAAAAAGTATCCTATATGTTGACCCGGATAAACAGCTATCACTATACCAAATTTCATCAAAATCCCTCCAGTGGTTTTTCCGTGATGCGGTAACAGACAGACAGACAAAAATTCTCAAAACTATAGATTCAGCCTCTGTATCGATAATAATGTCTATTTCAATAAGATTTTCCAAAAAATATTTAATGTGCAGATTTGGCTTGGTTACAATTTTATTATATGTATAGAAGAAGATACACATAGCTCATATTATAAACATTTTGGCCTCATTATAAAGGTATTAGAGTTCGATTGCTGAAGCATAAAGTATTGAACCGTCAAGTGGACAAATTTATTTATGTCTGAGCAAGGTTCTCGCAAATTATATATAAAAGAATATTATTTCTTTCATACACGTATATTAGTGTGGAGCGAAAAAAAATGTTTTTTTTTTAGCTTGGGGTTAGAATTTGTAACTTATAAAAAAATTTTTAAAACAGATTTCTTTTTAAATATTTTTTTTCGCTCCACCCTAATGTTTCTATGTCTAAGTAAAAAAAACTATTTCAGATAACCGTATTAACTTAGAAACTAAGATTAAAAGAATATGAGGCTTCAATTCAGTATAAGGAATATCTTCTACTGAGATGAAGCGTAACATATTTTATAATTTAGATGTAGTGAGCCAAAATTATTACTGGGGGTTTCCTTCACAAAATACTCAGTAACAGCCAGGAGTTTGAAAAGTTGGCGGAGTGCATATCCCTGTGTTTTGGAGAGCAATGAGGTTTTACCATTACATGCTATTTCCGGAGAGATATCTTAAAAACTTTACACGTTAAAAATATACCGTCATATTACATCAAAAATATTTGCTTAAAATGCTGTTCAATATAAAAAGTATGAAAAAAAATTCTAAGAATCGTCCAAAGTTTAACACGAGTTAGTAGCTATCGTCGAGCTCGAGATTTATTCTCATTTAAGTTTTTGAATTCCTTGCTTTGCTTCAACAATCCAACTATTTTATTAAGTTCTTTGACAAAACTTATTAAAGAACTCACCGTTTATGGAATACTATACGTATTATACGACTACCACGTGTATTGTATTTTAATAACAAGAATAATAGATTAAAATCTAACGTCCGAATCTCGTTGCTCTTAGTAACTTTCAAAATCAAAAAAAAAAAATCAAAATCAAAATATACTTTATTCAAATAGACTTTTACAAGCTCTTTTGAATCGTCAAATCGTTGTCGTCTGGGAGATGAAAGATGCTTTACAACCTATTCTCATACCTACCAAATATAAAAAATATTAAAAAAAAAACATTAAAATCTGTCGAGCCGTTTCAGTGGAGTGCGACCACAAACACCGTGACACGAGATATTTATATATCAGATAGTACATACTAGAAAATTACCTTTATTCTGGAAGAGCTTTCACAGCTTTTATTTGAAGTCTCCAAAGCTTAATCTCTAAAACGGAAGGATGTGACTCACGTTTCATATAAAAGATATTCTGCTTTTCAGTCTTGGGAAACTTTAGCTTTGGAGGACTAAATCTGGGGCGTGATGCCTCGGGGCCCGCAGCGGAGAATGGATTTGACTGAAAAGGGGCGTTCATTCGTCTTACTTTAGCCTTTGATAACTAGCCTATACATTTTTAGCTTTCAGTTTGTGTTTCAGACCCTTAAAGCAGTTTTACGAAAACGTACACGAAAAATTGCTTTATTTCGTTAAGGTTTTTGCTTGTGTTATTATGTATCTTATATGTTTTTAACCGATTTCAAAAAAGGGGAGGTTCTCAATTCGGATGTTTATATTTTTTTATGTATGTTCGGGCATAAGTCATATATAGATAGATGTATTTGTAAAATTCTTTTTTCTTCGATAGAGATTTATTTAGAAATGATCTCATTCAAATTTGAAAACGAAAATCCACCCCTAATGTAGAAAATAGGGGTGATTTATTCTTCACCAACTGATTTTTTAAAATTCTTCCTTCTTATTTTACTACTATGTCTACACTAAAAATGAAAAAATAAATACTTAAAAAAACCGACTTAATAAAAAACACTAAAAAGTTAAAAATAACTGATTGGTCGTTTTCATTTACTATAGATACCTAATAAGATATGTTCCAAGTCGGTGCCAGCCGATAGAAATCAAAGCACACCGACTGCGAAAATATCTGATTATGTATCTATAAGTAAATGAAAACTACCGATCAGTTATTTTTTACTTTTTAGTGTGTTTTTGAATTATTATTTTTTTATTTTTGTATTTCATAGACAATATGAGTTATTATTTTATTAATATATTATATTTTTTTGCAAATATTATAATATATTATTTAATTTCATTTCAATAATAATGCGATAAAAGATTTAGACTTCACTTTAAAGTTAGGCAACTCTTCGAGTACTGAAAGGGACCGTTATCCATCTTATTTGACGCCTTTCATTTTAAGCTGACAGCTTTATATTAAGTATGTGGAAATTGAAAGTATTACGTATTAGCTATTTTATCAATGGCAATACATAATTTTTGGTTATTATAGAAATTTGTTTTTGTCTATAACATTTAATACTAAAATTTAATGAATTTATGTGTAATCAATAAAACAGCAAAAAGAACCAACAAGTCTATTCTCGACCAACTGCAGGTTACTGCCAGACTATCCACTATATGCTACCAACGAGTCCTCTGTTATTTTGGTCACATCGCCCGGAGACAACCAGACAATCTGGACGAACTGGTTGTAGTAGGGAAGATTGAAACCAAAAGATCACGCGTTCGAGCACCTACTCGCTGGTCCGACCAGATTCAAAATATAACGGGACTCAATATTCCGACTGCCCTGAGACAAGCCGAGGATAAAGTGGTGTGGAGGAAGCTAGTCAACAAATCGGTGAAAACATTCCAGGATAAGCACGACCTTCAGCAATGAAGTACACGAAGAAGAAGAAGAAGCTAATCAATATGTAACTATGTATATTAATGAAACTTAGCGGAGTTCTTTTACAATCGTCGGTCAAAACAAAAAGCTTTCTTGTTGCTAGATCCTATACAATATTCGAGAGTTCAGAGTTTTGTGTGTCGAGGTCTTAGAATTTTGCATCCCAAATACGAGGCTCTAAAAGCCTTAACTTAGAACCATAATTAAGTCAAAGTTAAAAAAAAAAAAACTAACCAAAATTATTTAGACGAGTCACACACCCGGGTTATTGTCGCTACCACATACTCGTAATAGTTCTGGTAACTTAATCTATGCGTCAGTCTTGTAAATTGTACACAGAGCAGTTTTACAAGAGACAAGAATAATATTGACTAAGCTTAGAGAAGCTTTATATGCATTAAATTTTGTGGTATAAAGTGTGTTTATGTCAGTCTGCCTTCTCTTATGTGTTTGTAAGAGTATATGTATAAATACTTTTTTGTACAGTCTTAATTGCTTTCCATGTTTTTTTTTTAAATAATTTTGTGTGCGGGTTCACGTCTATCATTCTCAGATATAAGGATCCTTAGATTTCCTTAGAAAATAGTGCACTTGCACGGAAAGACAAACACACACATATTCTACATACGCATTGTACCTATGTAGAATAATCCTGAATAATCTTCTGGAACAAAATTAGTGGCAATAAATCTTACAAGTTTTTGTACTTTGAAATACTTTTGGTAAAAAAATTGTAATATTAAATATCGATCAATAGAACTATTGAACATATTTATTTATCGTTATTTTTCAGTGGCACTTAATTCCGATGAGATGTTTCAGCGTAAAGTAACAAACACTTTCCCACAAACTTTTTCTATACATATAATAAAATCGTAACTAAGCCGAATCTGTACGTTAAATATTTTTTTGAAAATCTTATTGAAATAGACATTATTATCGATATAGAGGCCGAATATATAGTTTTAGAATTTTTGTCTGTCTGTCTGTCTGTTACCGCATCACGGAAAAACCAATGGAGGAATTTTATGAAATTTGGTATGGTGATAGCTGGTTATCCGGGTCAACATATAGGATACTTTTTAGGCAGAGCAGCATGGAATGCTAGTCTGTAATGTAATTGTATATTTTCTCTACCATATAGTTACTCTATATTAGTAATAATTCTATTTACAGTAATGCACGTGTTGCAAACGCCGGCGAGATTCACTTAGAGCAAATGTTTGCGTAAGTGCTGTCTTTTATAATAAAACTTTTGTATGCATATTTTATTTGTTTTACCACAGGAAAAATAGTATATATAAAAAGCTTTTATATGTGTATTATAAGCGCATTAAAATAAAAGCTCGTCTTTTTAAATAATTTTATTTAATCTAAGTAGGTACGTGGATTTTGTTCGCAATTTCATGGGTTTTATTTCTTTTATCTGGATATACCCTAATCCTTTTTCTCAAATAGAAATAGCTTACTCCTTATTACATCAGCTATGTGCCAGTGAAAGTCACGTCAAAATCGGTCCAGCCGTTTCGGAGACTAACCGGTACTCACTAATACCGGTAACTCAAAGTATCTTCTATTAGCCGTTGAAGAATTCCACCTATCCACCATCTGGCCTTATCATCAGATCAAGTTGACGATACCGAACCACTGAACTGACAACGGAAATAGAAACATTTGCAAAGTTTCAAGTCAGTATGATAATATGAAGTAGGTTAAATTTTCATTAGCTATTTTTCCATCCTTAGGGATGGTATTTTGTTTTTAAATTAAAATGGCACCAACTCGAAAGTATATACTTTCAAACAAAACAGAAATTGTCCAAATCGGTTAATAAATGGCGAAGTTCTGAGGCAACAAACATATAATAAAAACTTACTGCCGGTGCCAACCATACAAAGCAAAGCACACCAACTTCGAAAATATTTTATTAGGTATGTTACCTAATCTATTTATTATGTAATATGTATAGTAAATGAAAACTACCAATACTTTATTATTTTTTACTTTTTAGTGCCTTTTTTTGAAGTCGGTTGAAAAACAAAAAGGTATGTGTGTTTGTTTATTACTCCTTCACGCTCGGATCAAGAGACGGATTTAGATAAAACTCAGCCCACAAATAAACTATGACCAACCTGAAGTAATACATAGTAGAAATAAATACTGCGAGATATCTAGGGACCCATTCGTACAAACGCGGGTAAGTTGCTTGTAAAAATTAAATATTTATTCGTAACAGTCTCACCACTACAATTGCATATTTGATCGCAAATATTCAGATGAGATTCTCCCGCTTTAAACATATCGAAACCAATATTTTCCGACGGAAATGTCTGTTGGATCGTCGAAGCGCAATTCTGGAGACGTGGAATGTAATATCTATGTGTAACAAACGTTTTATTAAAACACTATCGCTTGGAAAAAATATATTTGAATTAGTAATAGTTTATGTAGAAGATGGAAATTTTTTGTTTGAAGAATATTTATGTACTTGCCTTTAATGATTATAAATTCTTAGTTTTGTCTTTGCCTATTTATCTATATAGAGTACCTGGGCGGTACTACGGTACGGTATTAAAAACCGGAAAAAAACATTAAAAAGTAGAAAATAACTGTTCGGTAGTTTTCATTTACGATAGATACCTAATGAAATATTTTCGAAGTCAGTGCCAGCCGGTACACAAAGTACACTGAAAAGTTGAAGTTGAAGTCGGTTTTTTTATTAAAAAGCTTTTTCCCTTTTTAGTATAGATATAGTAGTAGCAAAGTAAAAAGAACGTATATTAATAAAATATTCGCTAAGCCAAAATTAAAAATTGTTCAAATCAGTTAATAAATGACGAAGTTCTGTGGTAACAAATATAAAAAAATACAGCCGAATTGAGAAACTCCTCCTTTTTGAAGTCGGTTGAAAAATGTTTAACTTTAAAAGCAAAATTTTATCTGAATACAAAATTTTATTCCGATATAATCTAAAGATATATATGTATATATATACATATATATATAAAGCAAAGTCGTGTCACCATTTATAACTCAAAAAAGGCTGGACCAATTTTTATGATATTTGATTTTTTGGATTTCTCTTAGTCCGGAATAGTATAGTACGTATTAAAACATCAAAAAAATAAACGAAAAAAATAAACTTTTAATGGCTAACGCTGGCTGATAACTATGTATATCTATTTAAAACGTACCTAGCGACGAACCCGAGCGAAGCGAGGGTGAGCCGCTAGTTTTAAATATATTCATAAAATTATAAGTTATTTTTGGACACAAAACTAGGGTGGAAGCTGGAATATCACAATCCCCTAAAATTTAATAATAAAAAAATATTTGCCATAGAATATGCCATATACGCACATTCCAACGATGGTATGAAGCCCACATTTGCATTTAAACAAGCAATTCTTCATTATATATTGTATACGCTAAATAGAGGATCTATTGAATTAATTCTGATGGATTAGACTCGATCCGTGAACGATCGATGCTGAACATACAAAATGCCGTATATATATATATATATATATATATATATATATATATATATACGCACGTTATTATACGTTTTTGCAATTTGTCAAAATGGTATCATAAAAGTTTAATTACGACTTGATGACTGATTTTAGCACCAAATATTTAAATAACCTTTGTTGATCGAGAAC